ATGCTTATTCTAGAGAAGCTGAAAATAAGAATCCTGAGGAGAAACAAAACAACTATAATCCCACAATCCACCACTATTAGTATTTTGTGTGTATTCTGTTAGTCATTTGTTTTTGTACAGAAACAAATTTAAAACGCATTGCTGTATAAGATCCTCATTTTTCATTAAATATTGAAAGGAAAGGTGTCCTTAATCATTGCACTGTTCAGGTAGGTCTCCAACTGGCTCAGTTCATCTCCCACCAACCCCACTCTGCCCTCCATTGCTACACAGGCTGTCAGGGCCCCAGTGCCCATCACTTTGGTTCACTAGTATCCTGGCATTTTGGAGGAAGGGTGTCCACTCAAGGCAAATTCACTGGGGACTGCACAAAGACTTGAAACATATATAGGCTGCACTGTAGATGGATGGTCCTCGGAGGGGTATTCTGTGAAGATAAGGTGAAGCCTTGACATGGTATTTCGCCAAAGAATCATTGCTTTCATCCCTTAGTATAGTCCAAACACCAAGAAGAGCTGGTGAGGCTCCTGTAGTAACTTGTCTCCCATGCAGCTCTGGGCACTCCAGGGGACTGCCCCCAACCTTTTTTAATATGATCTTCCTTTAGTTCACCTTTTCATACTACCCATCCCGCTCCTATTTTCCTTTCTAGTCCCTTAAAAAGAGATCTTCCATATTGATAAAGAATCTGGAATGTTTATGCTAATGCTTTCAGCAAGCAGTGAAAAGTCATTGGGTGTTTTTAACCAGGATCCCATATTTTCACAGCTCATTGGAAGCAGCACAGGAGGAAAACTAAAGGTGGGGAGAACACTGTTGAAGAGTGGATGAGAGATGATTAAGGCCAAAACAAGGCAGTAGCAAATGTGATAAAGACGAGAGACCACTAAGAGCTCTGTGGTAGACTCAGTTGGGACTCCCATCACTTCCCCATTCTCTCTGCTACAGACACAAGTGTCCCATCATCCAACTATCACTACCAGTAACCTAGTTTACTAACCTGCAGCTCCTTTCTCACCCTCAACCCATACATCCCTTAGACTCATTTCCAAAAACTGTCAAACCTGTCATCACATCATTGACTAAGTAGCACTGAGACAATGGTTATAGAGAACAAGACTCATCCGATTTAATGTGAAAGATGAGAAGCAGCTGAAAATATTTATGTAACATGATATTGATGCTGTTAACACATAGGATATTATATTATTATAGTCATAATTTCAAAAACCGAAAGTCACACATCTTTATCATTAAAAATCCAATCAAAATCCTGCTTGATATAAGAAACACGAGGACATGCAGTGTGTCCATATCCCACTTTCTGCTGTCATGTTACCTTGGGAAATGCTACTTGCATCACGTTGTGACAGGATAGCCATTAAAGAGAAGGGAACAACTCGCAACTCAATTTTCTTTATATCTGAACCGTCTTGTATTAAGTTATTAAACCATGAACTCATACTGGACATTTCATCATTAGTTTTCACTTATTGAAAAATACGCTCTTTTGGGGGTATATGGTAAGCATATAACTCTTCTTATAATTGTAAATATTATCAAGTCAAATCCTGTACCCTTGTTTCCCAATGACGAAAAAGAAAGTACCAAAATGAGACATGGGACATTCCACCAGATTTAAGCTCTGTGCAATTATTTATGCAATTCTGAAAATACATTTTACCATATAGGGTATAAACCCTGTTTTCTCCCCATCAGTTGTATTTATCCATGGAAATTAAAGGTATTATTAACTTAAATCCTGGCAGAGCCTCATCTGTTTTAGCACTCACCAACCCACATGGTAATTACTGCTGCTAAATACAGAAGGAGTTAAAATTGACACAAGATTTCTGCCCTCCAACCCTGCTTTTAAGAGTCCTTCACATCTCTGGATTTGAGGCTGAGGGATTTGCTGCCTCCCATCTTAACCCTAAGAGAGATTTATTGTATCAGGCTGTAACTGCTGTTGCCTGAAAGATGTTGCATGATCATCATTGTGCTCACGGGTAAGAGAGAAAGGATAGACTCTGGGAATAACTTTGAATTATTACAGCCATGCAAGGTTGAAGATTTTCTCAGAGAGCCAGGGCAGAGGGCCTAGTGGAGAGATTTATGAAAGCAGGGAAGGGAAGGATAAGCGAGCAAATTAAGTGGGAAAAGTCTTGCTTTAAACATGATAGGTAGGTTTTGGCATCCTTCCTCTTTTTCTGGAAGAAGAAGCAAGTGCAGTATGCTTTGCTTTCTCACTTCAGAGGCACCCAAAGCCATATTTGTAAGGCTGTTGGTATGGATAAATCTGAAGGAGTGTTTGAAAGAAGAAAGGAAGAAGGGAGGAAGAAGGGAGGGAAGAAAGAGAAGGAAAGAAGGAAGGAGGGAAGGAGGAAGGGAGGGAGGGATGGAGGAAGGAAGGGAGGAAGGAAACAGACCTATATGTCCCTAACACTGCTTCCCTAATACACATTTTTGTCATATATGCCATGGGAATGTAGATTATCAGCTTAGTTCATGCCAAATCATTACAAAACTTGAACTTAGAGGGACTTATATTAATGAAGTTTCATTGAACTTATAAAATGTCAAAGATCACATCTCATTGTAACTTAAAAGACAAATCTCAAAGTGATCTTTCAACTCTCCCAGAAAGAAAACGATGTGAAACGACAGCTGTGTGTCAAAGGCTGATCAGAGAATACTGCCGTGCTGGCAGCTGTTTCCTTGGCTTTCACCTCATTTTGTGCTTTTGTCTATCTCTTAAATACATTGGTGTGCCTGTGCAAAGGCTCTGTAGAGACAATAATGATGCTTGCCTGAGTGCATAGATAAAGTGGACTTTCAGAAAAATTAATAGCCTTTGTTCTGATTTGGGAGATATTCTTGCAAGATAATTGAAAGAAAGATGATTTAAAATATAACCAAAATTCAGATTCATACCATTCTCCATGTCCACACTATTACTGTCTCTGGGGTCTGACTGATAGCTTGGCGTGATGGTTCTTTTTGTTCCTACCGTAGCTACAGCATTAGTAAAAATGACTCCCAACTTGAAATAGTGGCCATAGCAAAATTTGAAGTTAAGAGCCAGTCTGGAAGGATGAGGATAGCAGTTTGCCCAGAGATATGGCTCATTTATGAAGTTTCTCCATTAGTCATAGCAATAGAGTTGATATATTGTCTCATGGTTTTTGGGTTACTACACCCACCGCGGGACTGAAGGATGTGAGAATATTACAACTGAGGGAACAAAGTTCCAGAAAGGTTAATTGACTTCCCAATGGTCACATGGCTAGTTAGTTTTAGAGCTATGGTTACATCCCAGGTCTCCTGGAGCCTGGTGAGGCAGTATTATGTGGCATAAATATTTGGGAAGATGAATGAAAGGAAACCATAGGTCTGAGTCAAAAAAACAAGGAGGAAATCATGTCTCTGAAACTATTAGGAGGATGTGTGGTAACAGGCACATTTTCCATGCATCCTTTATATAGTAGAAGCACGTTATACACACATGTATTGCATGTATATACAACTACATTTTTCAAAAGACACAGTAGCAGCTTAATAAAATATGATTGTTATGTCAGATGGCCTCTAAATACAAATCATCTGCTTCATCTGGTGCTCAACAGGAGGAAAAATGATAGATTCCAAGGCTGGATGCATCAGCTGTGTTGGAAACTGTGAGATCTTATACAGTATACACAAAACAAGTTAAAACATCAAGGATATTTCTGACTGTTATTTTTGTCTTATACTCAACTTTGAAATCAACTCCCAAATAAGATGAAAATTTACCAAGTTTTTTTCCCCCATCCAAATAAAAATGAAGGAAAATTATGTGAGTGGATTAATAGTTTAGTTTTTAAGCAATAACTTTTCTGTCATTTTCAAATGTTTCTACCCAGGAAAGCTTTTTAGTAGGAAACCTAGAATAGTAATTTTAATGTATTTTTAAAATATGTAAAAACATTTCAAAATATAAGCCTTAGGTTTGGACTTGAATCTATTAATGGTATTTTTTGTGGTTCTTTTGCTCAAAAAATAGAATTGAACTTGATTATCATCTTTTAAAATATGTTCTTGAAATAAAACATACATACTAAAGAATACACATGGCATAAATGTACAGTTTGATGCATTTTCAAAAACTGAACACTCTGTGTAAACAACATAAAGATTATAAAACAAAATTTGACCAGCATCTCAGAACTCCGTGACCCGAGTCCCCTTTTATTCATAATCTCTCAAAGGTAACCACTAACCTGACTTTAACACCATAGATTAGTTTTGCCTGTTTTTGTGCTTAATGTAAAAGCATTCTACTCATTTGTGTCTGGCTACTTTTGCTCAGCATAATGTTAGTGGTATTCATCCATTTGATTGTCAAATCTTCTATATCCCTCATCCGCATTGCTGTATAATGTTGTATCATGAAAATATATCTTAATACTGCCAGTTTTTAAAGTATATGTAATAATTTGCCACCAACCAGCAATTTAGGAGAGTTCAAGTGACTATACATCTTCCCTCAAACTTAATATTTTCCATCTTTTTTATTTTAGCCATTCTGGTGGACAAGCATTAATTTTCAAGCTGACTAAATAAACCTCTAACAAACTCATAGCAGACAAAGGTCTTATTTAGGAAGCAGTGTGTGCTGGGGTGGGAAGGGGCACTGTTGTGTCAAGTGGAATGTTTCAACATCACTAAGTTCAAAGAAGCACAAATTGAATGACGTAAACAGAAATGTCTCCGCACAGACAAGTGTTTTTGTTAAAAATACTGCCTTATTTTCAGAGAAAGCATTTCATTTGGGGATGAAGAGATGTGCATATGGGCAAGATATTTATGGAATCTGAAAACTGACATTTTTAAGATTTTGGGGGGGAGTTGTGGGATAGAAGAAAACAGTAAAGACTTTATTAACCGTACCACTAATGATTGAGATTTTCATAGAAAAAACAGAAGGCTTTGGTTGATTTGTGTTTTTATTATTGTTGCAGGATCTCCATTTTGGTGCCTATTGGATATTGTTCCTATAAAGAATGAGAAAGGAGATGTGGTACTTTTTCTGGCCTCATTCAAAGATATAACAGATACAAAAGTGAAGATTACTCCAGAAGATAAAAAAGAAGGTTTGTACTGTTTTCAGAAAACATTGACAGATGGAGTAACATTTTGAAATTGTTTACTCAAAAACTCTGGGAGGAAAAAAAATTATCTTTTTAATAACAGCAACTGATAAATATTCATAACTGCTAGCAGTCTGTATTTGGTGCCTAGAATACAAAATCAGAGAGACTCACGTGAGTTTACACTCTCCTTTGTTATAAAGACTCTTTTGACAGGAACCAGAAGTTCGTATTCTTATGCAAATAGGATGAAGTAGGAAAAACAATTTATCAGAACATAAAGATTCACACTACTTTGTTTTATTAGGAAAAAAATGAATTTATAGCAACAAGTCGAGTTAGAATGATATGATTAAAATAGATCTCTCAGTTTCATCGAAAGTGCAGTAGCTCAAAACTTAGAAGGGCAAAATTTCATTTTACGTACAAATTTAAGTTTAGTGGTTGTTAGAGTGTAACATTGCAAAGAAGTGTGTCTATATCTCATAGTATATAATAGTATAATAATTTAAGACACAAACAAGTTTTCCAATGATCTTCAGAGGATTCTTTCTAAGACTTGATGTTGCTTACCTTATGTCTTCTGTTTATAGCTTATTAAGAAATTCCCTATATTTCATGTAAGCTGACAAAAATTAACACTGAAAAAATGCTGATGTTTCATTTAAACAGAAGTGGGATTAGATATTTTGGGGACCAGAGAAAAAGTAACTGTCATTGTAGGGATTTCCCATGTAGTAAGTTCTTTATGAGAACCAGCTATTTGACATTTCAACAGCTATGTCTTTTTAAGAATAGACTCTTTTACTCCAGCTCTTTTTAAAAATGTGTATGAGTGTTTTAAATATATTATGTCTCTTGAATTGACAACACAAATGGAGAGCTGTCGTGATTTGGTGCCCCTGCCCCCAACTTCTATCATTTGAAATGTTTGTAAGCACATGACTGCTTTCCTGTGTATTTGCGTGACTAAATACTGTGGCCTATTTTACATACACAAAGGAAGAGCAGTCTTACAATTAAAGTTATTTGGATATTAGAGCAAGCGTAATATCTGTCCAGTGAGAGAAAAGAAAAGTGTGGAAATCAGTGTGTGCAATTTTTGTCTTTACTATTTTCTTTAGTATTATAGGAATACAAAAGGTGAGTATGAATTGTGTTTACTCACAATACTTCTGACACCAAATGTGTGGGGTTTTTCCATACCAACAACCAGTGCTACAGCTCTCCGGACACCAACTGGATGTCTTATAGTTTAATTCTACTCTAATGCTAACTACTCAGAGTGTCAGACTCCACATGTTTAAGGGCTCAGCCCCACAAGACCACCCTCACTTCAGATGCCAATCACAAGTATTGGTATCCAGGGTACCCACACACTTCTGTCCAACTTGGCTACAAAATCAGGGGTTTCCAAGACCCTTCCTCCACTTTTCACATTTGATAATTTGCTAGAAAGGCTTCTAGAACTGAGAGAAACATTATTACTATATATACAACTCAGGAACAGCCAAATGGAAGAGACGCATAGGGCAAGGTATGGGAAGGAGAGGCGTGGAGCTGCCATGTTCTCCCACACTCCCAGCACCTCAATGTGTTCGCCAACTTGGAAGTTCTCTGAACCCTGTTGTTTAGGAGTTTTTATGGAGGTTTTCTTATGTAGTCATGATTGCTTAAATCACTGACCATTGATGATACTCAGTCTCTAGCCCCTCTCCCCTCTCCAAAAGGTCAGGGAGTGGGGCTGAAATTTCTGACCCTCAAATCTTGCCTTGATCTTTCTGGTAACCAGCTCCCCTGCTGACGCTATCTAGGGGCCCCCAGCCACCAATCATTCATTAGCATATAAAAGATTAATTTATCATTCCAGAGATTCTAAGGATTATAGAGTTACATGCCAGGAACAGGGGACAAAGAACAAGTATATATTTCTCATTATGTCACAGTATGGATTATTTGAATAAAACTTTATTCACATATTAAATATATATGTGCGTATGTGTATTTGCATATATGTATAGAAAGACAGAAATATGAAACTATCTTTGGAAGGAAATATATGGCAATTCTTTTTTTGCTTCAGAGGGGGTAGTTTAATCAACCTGACTTGCTTTGAACGTGAAGATCATGCCTAATGTTTTTATATAGTTTGTTTCCTCATCTTTGTCTTATGTACTTCATGTCTGTAGATAGTAGAGAAATCTCCATCATGGAAGACTTCAGTGGGTAGAGGGAGTCAATGTACTTATTCATTTGGGGTTTGAGAGAGCTCCATAAAAACTCTCCTTTCTCCAGGCAAGTTCTGAACCAGCTGAGAAAGAAAGAAGAGTAAGGCAGATGGGAGACCAATATATCACCTTTATTTCTGATAAAATTGATAACAGAGTATGTGACATAAATCTACAGCAAGTGGGCTTCCTCCTGGTGAGCTCCAGATTTAGGCAAAGTTACCCCTCAGTCAGAAACAGAGCTATACTGGGGCAGAGGCAGAGCTCCCCTAGATCTGCCTTAAAGCTTGGAGGACCAGAGCATAACAGGTATTCTCCGAAGACAACTGCTCCCTAAAGAGAGGCAAGAGGAAGGGCCACCCTATGTGTGTCAATGTGTCCTTCCAAACTCAATCAGATTAAATTCTTCCTCTTCTTCCAGGAAGAACTGAGAGAGAGGCCAGGTGTGTTACACTAGCAGATCTGCTTGCACGGGAAATATTGCACCTGCCATTTGGGGTGAAGGGCACGCATTTGGACACTCTATGAGACGAAGAACAATTATTCTAATCCAAAGTTATATCTTAAAAATGAATTTTACATTTATATCTAAATAAACATATTAAACTATGAGCAACAATAATAGTCCTATTTTTTTTAGGGAACATGTACAATATAAGACCTATCTCTTGCAAGGTTTAAAGAAAAAATATCAACAAAACACTTTTAACATTAATTATGTGATGTAAAATATGATTTAGAAATTGTGAAATATTTGGTCCCTAAACTTTCTATAGCTTTATGACTTTGTTCTTCAAATGATTATTTCATATGAAATTAAGTATCATTTCTAACATATATTTGAAACTTAAGAACATATTTTTTTTCTGTTGCTACATTATTATAAATGTCCCACAAAAATATGTAGTATTTTTATAGATGCAAAGTAGTGATTGTAAGGCAGCATGTTTATAAAATGATCATAAAAAATTGATATATATTTCTTTCCTTTTTTACGTACTCTTAATAGGCGAAAATACCTTACAATTCACCAGTCGATGGCACTTCTTGCAGGAAAGTCACACCTTAGTGTATGGTATTTTTAGAACAAAAAGATAAGTGTTTAAAAATCATTAAAATGTCACTGTGAACTCGAGCAGTATTGTATCACAGCACTAGGAAACTCTGAGCGTGTAGCCTGACGTGACCTGATATTGCATTTCATACGGATGTATCCCTGAAATCCCTCTAAGATGTAGAAATAAGGTTTGAGTTAATTACATTAATTCCCTAATAAGGCTCTTATGATTGACTTTGTTTAAGAGATACAATTGTGTATTTCTATTTTTACAAGATACTTTAATCATAACCTCTACATTGTTTGGGGTTTTATTTGAAATGAAGGGAAACGTATTTTATAGAAAAGGCTATCAAGATATGAGATACAGTGCATACTTTGCATCAATGAATAGCAGTGATGGAAGATTAGCAGAAAATGCACAGTACTATTTGTATACTCGATAGCTTTCAGCTGGTGATCTGGGGGAATGTGTGTGTGTGTGTGTGTATGTGTGTGTGAGAGAGAGACAGAGAGACAGAAAGAGACAGAGACTTCAGCAGAAATTTGGTGGTTTTTACCACCTTTTAAAATACCCTCCTCTTTTTGATGCATATTTTACTTTGATTCTAAAAATAGTGTGTAAACCACTAACTTCTGTATCCACATCTAGCATTACTGAGTAATTTTATATGAGATCATGTTTACCTCTTTCTCTATCAGTAAGAAATATTTTAATATAATTTAATAGTGGATTAATAATGTATTAAGTAATTCAACAAATATTGAGTGAACACCTCCTCTGCGGTCAGTATTGAATTATTGCTTGAAGACGTCAAAATGGAGACAGTGCGCTTTGAATCCTCTAAACCTCAGCTCAGATCCTGGGTCCACACGTGTCGGCTGTTAGACCTTAGATGAGCCACTTCCCTGCTTAAAGACTAAGTTTCCTCATCTACAAAATAGGGTAATCACACATGTCTGCACTTGTTTTAGGCTTATAAGAGATAATATATGCAAATCACTAGCACAGAGCATACAGAATACACTTAATAAAAGAGAGTTGTGGTCATTGCTGTTGCAGTCTACCAGTTTTATAAATATGGCTGCCTGTTGTTAAGTCTCTGCTTCATACTTCACTTACTTTGCATTTTAACTCAAAGAAATAAGTGTTATTCCTATTCCCATTTACTAATGAATTTAAGTAATTTGGCAAAGTTAACATAGTAAGAAATGGCAGGATTAGGATTTACATTCAAACAAGCAAACTCCAGAGTGTACAATCTTTTCACTGGGATTTTTTTTTTTTTTCTCCAAGAGCTCATGATCTTATGAAGGACATAGATGTAGTATTTGCAATATGGTGTACTCAGTGACAGTAAAGTGGCAGAAATAGTAACTTCTTCCCAGACAAGGGAAAAAATGTCGGGGTCAGTGAGAGTTGGAACAAAGTCAAGGAGAACTTCGCAGGGAAAATAATATTGAAGCTAATCTTGAATGATGAGTGGAGTTTGATAAATTGAAGGGAAGGGATGTTAATTTCAGAAGATGGACTAGTGAATAGTTGACCTTTGTTCAGAAGTAGATTAAAAATCTAAAAACTTAAAAATCAGAGAGTTGAAGTTCAACTCTAGATGGTCAGGCAGGACTTAAATCTTAAAGATTTTATTGTCTTGCTACAGAGTTTAGATGGTACAGCGAGTTCAGAGTTAGAACAGGTAGACCTTGCTAATGGGAGA